AGAAATCATAATCATAAAGATAGAGCCATGAAGAAACACATTGCTAGTGTTTCTGGATTTTAGAGGTTCAAAACAAATAACAAAATCATTACACGTTTTTGGTGTGTCTTTTTTTTTATCAAAAAAATATGGAGTTAATGGTTGACAGCATCAAATACTCTATTTTTTTTTTGTAATGCTGTTTCTGGTAATTAAATGGAAAAAACTAGCACTCCTTTTTGGTTATATGTAGCTACCAACCACTACAACTTAATTTGAGGTCATTTTGTGTGATTTATATTTTTCTTTTAGCTACAAATACTATAAAAAGAAATTAAGTTTAATTTGATGATGATATTTTTCTTGCCAATAATTTATTTAATGTAATGGTATTGGTCGTTAATAAAAAGAGCATAAACATTTTTATATATGTATATAAAAAGTTAAATGTTTTATTTTAGTTGTGGTAGATAATGCTTTGTGACTTGCGAGGTCGACGTAGCACACGAGAAAAGTCCTGACCATATTTCGACTCTTTTTTTTCTATTCTTTCAAATTTCACCCTTTCCTCATTTTATATTCCAGATGAGCTTCTGAGAATCAACCTGATTTTCCTTTTTTAAATGTGAAATAATTTAAATGTAAATACCTAATAACATTTAAGACACATATATGAGAAAAAACTAATTCATGGTCTAAGCCCATATATCATATGATCATGGTGCATTAGGTAAAAACGTGTACAAGTCCTAACTCCTAAGTGGAATGGGATTTTACATACGCCTCTCTATATAATATGGTTTCATGAGATTAATGGAAGAGATCGTTAATACGAGAGAACTCAAACCATAAAAAACCTTAAGACACTAAATTATCAACATTAACATACTATACTCTATCTAGTTCGCGTGCGTGTAGACAACCTTCTGATAATATATTCAAAGCAGCCACAAATTCGCCAATTCGTTATAAAAAACAACTACAATAGGTATATTCTTAAACCACCATGATTTTGATTTGATGAATCCTAAGAAATCGTAACAATATTTTACGAGATTTAAGAGATTGTAGACCAAGAATTTGTTGTATTAAGAAAAAGAAAAAAAAACCCTATAGAGAACTTAGATGTGCCAAATAAAAAAGGAAAATCAGGTCGGTAATGTAAAATCCAACGATAAAGAAAGAGCCACGTGTATGAGGATATTCCATTGGTTTGATTCTTCTACGCCTCTCTCCTCTTATATACAAAACTCACATTTTTCTTCCTCACGTTTCTTCTTCCTTCGCCACAAAGACGAAAGTCTCAAA